ACATCCATTTTGGTCTTTTCTTCCTCTTCTGTCTTTGTAATGACCGTTTACACTCTTCCTGAATGATATCTTTGACATCCTCCCACAACTCATCTGGTCCTTGACAGTATACTTATTATATCCCCTATAATCAGCCCAGTAACTTAATAAGCCATTTAACTGTGCTGGGTCTCAATTTCCTCATTTGCGTTCAACTTCTCTGTGCCTGAATTTCCTCTTCTGTCAAATGAATTATCCATCTATGACAGACTGTTACACTCATGGCATCCAGTCACCCGGCCTCGTGGGGATTATTCCCTTTGGGAAACCCCCTCCTACATCAATTCTGGTCTTGGTCACTTGACTTGCTTTGTCCAGATTAGTAAATGGGATGCAAGCAAGGGCTTACTAAGTGCTTGTACATTAGGGCTTGGCCTCTGGAGCACTTCCGTTTAGAACCCAGTGGCCGTGCTGTAAAGAGCTCTGATTAGACTTCTGAGTGATGACAGGCAAGTGGAGAAAGACCCCAGAGGATGAGGAGTAAGCTCAGCTTCACTGCTTGGAGCAGAGGAACTGCTGAGTCAACCACAGGCACCCCAAGCAATTCAGAGATATAAATTTCTGTCATTTTCAGCTACTGAGCTTTGGAGTGGTTTGTTAAACAAAAAAGATAAGAAAGACCTGTAAGAAAGACTTATCAAGATGACGTAAGGATTCAAAGAGTTTGTATATGTAATCCAAAGAGAAATCAAAACTATCAAGCTCAAATCTATTCCCCTGCAGAAAAGAGCTTTGGTGGCTCAGTGTAAGATGTGTTGGATGGGTCGTCTAAAACTGTCTGTTTGGATCCACCAGCAGCTCTGCAGGAGAAAGATAGGCAGTCTCCTCCCATCAAGATTCGCAGCCTTGGCAACTCGATGGAGTGTCACCATAGATCAGAATGGCCTCGAGAGCAGGCTTCCTCGGTAGGGCAGAGAGGTGAGTTAAAACCATCGACATTTAGGTTTTATCTATATCAAATGTTGTTGTTGGTAGGTGCTGTTGAGTTGAGTACGACTCATAGTGACACAATGAACAGCAGATCTGAACCCTGTCCTATCCTGTGCCATCTTCACACTTTCTGACACACTAGACCCCATTGTGGCAATCACCATGTCAGTACACCTGGTTGAAGGTCTTCCTGTCCTTCACCAACCTTCCCCCAGCATCAGGTCCCTCTCTAAGGAATAGCCTCTCTTTGCAACATGCCCCAACTATGTGAGGCAAAGCCTCATCATTCTTGCCTCCAAAAAGCACTCTGGCTGTACCCTCTCCGAGACCTATTTATTTGTTCTTTTGGCCATCCCTGGGATGTTCAGTGCTCTTCTCCAACCCTACAATGTAAAGGCATCAATTCTTCTGTCGTCCCTATTCATTGTCCAGCTCTCAGATGCATAGCAAGTCATCAAATGTAGGTAAACTTTTTGGGCCAATCAAGAACCAACTACATGTAAGGTACATATAAAAAGTTTAGCACATACTGAACTAACAATAAATATTAACTGGTATTATTAGAGTTTGTGTTCAATGAATCAGTGATGGGTAAAGAAAGAAATTCCTGCCCCTCTCTCCCCATCGCACTAGACTCTTACCTGGGCTGAGAAGTCAATGAGTTGGGGCAAGGGCTGCTTGCTGCCTTCTTCACTTTTCAAAAAGTCCAGCAGACTTCCTGTATAGGGCAGAAAGGGACCAGACACAACTCTCAGCATCTTAGTATAGGTGGCTCAAACGGCTCAGAGCAAAGGCTTGAAATAGATTTCTTCACCACTTAAGAAATGGAATTTGGGTTATGTAAATGTGAATTTTCAGACTGCTAACTTGATTCTTTGATGGAGACTGTGTTTTCTTGGCCTAGCCATACGGAGGGCAATAGCTTTATGTTTTTTGTCATTATGTGCCATCGAGTCATAACTGACTCACAGCTGACCCTCCAGTGGGTTTTCAGAAGATGGAAATCACTTGAGAGGAGATTGTTCATTTATCTCCTGTGGAGCAGCTGGTAGATCTGAACTGCCTGCCTTTGAGGTTGGCAAACTCTTACCACTAGACCACCAGAGCTGGTATAATTCTGTATTTAAGAAGAAAGAAAGTGGAGATTTTAAATTATATTGAGTTGCGTGGAATGTTACTATTTACTAAAAGGGCAGGAGTTGGAAATGACTGTAAAATAGTGGCCTAAAAAAAAAATCCTTGTAAGATCTTGAATTGTGACAGAGAGTGATGGAGGTCTGGAACTAGTGCTTTACCTAAATTTCTTTTTCAAGGCATTGCTGCTTCCAGGGCAGACAGCTTCCCTCCCATCAGCCTCTTCTCCCATCACCCAGGGTGGTTCTGGCTTCACTCCCTTCTCCTGGGGGCCTGTGTCCCCCCTACCCCTTGGTGTCCCTCTATCATTATTTTACCCCATTAACAGGAGGGTGGAGTGGTCGCATCTTAGCTTGCTCAATGAATATTTGCCAATAGAGCTTCTGTGCCAGATTGGGGGCACCTTGAGAGCAAGAGGCACGCAACCTTTGAGTATCTGGTTGAGCAGTGAGGACCAAAGCCTACATCCCAGCCCCCCGGGGCGTGGCACCTTTGGCCATGAACTCCGTGATGATGAGGATGGGCTCCTCCGTCACCACTGCGTGCAGCTTCACCAGCTTGTCGTGCTGCAGGGTTTTCATCAGGTTGGCTTCCGCCAGGAAGGCCTCCACTGACATGCTCCCCGGCTTCATTGTCTTCACGGCCACCTTGGTGTGCTTGTTGTAAGTGGCTGTAGTGGGTAGAGAGCAGGAAGATTGTCACAATCCTCTGGCCTTGCCCCACAGCCTATCTGTAAGTCTGCCTCCGCCAGGAAGCCCTCCCTACTACTCTCAAGAGATGTGGGATGTGCGTTGGAAGACTGGCTGGCGCTCCATCTCCCGCACCTCACTTAACCTCTCTGAAACCTCGCTTATCCAATCTACAAAATGGGAATGACGTGCATTCCCTTGAAGGGCTTATAAGGATTAACAAATATTCTTAATACAGTTTAGGCCTCTGTCTTACACTTACACACACACACACACACACACACACACACTCCTTTGCTTAAAATTCTTTACACTTAGCATTGCTCTTGAAACCAAGACCCACAGGAACTTACTTACATGAATAAACTAACCCACTACCTTTTCAGGTTCCTTATCTACACAATTCCCTCTAGTTTTTTTCCACACATCAATCGCCCTGTAAACACCTCAGACCTTCAAGTATCCAGTTCCCTACTCTCACTGCGGAGACTTCTTACATGCTGGTCCCTAGCCCCACCCACCATTGCATCATCTCTCAGGTTCTGTAAATCTCACAATTCCTTGTGTCTCCCCCTTTGCCTGGGTTGCCAGAACGCTCAGATCCAGATGTGTGGTCTTCCTCTAATAAAGGTTTAGAGTCTTATGGGTCTTGAATTACCACTCAAATTTCTTTTACCTTCCTGTATTTTCTTCTTGCCACAATATCTTGTCCAATGTCTGAGCCACATGAAGGTGGATTTTAAGATTATTTTATCTGGCTGAATTGTTTGCACCTCTGTAAATTTCCTTAACTCCCACTTGTTGGTGTTAAGTACCACTGAGTACCAACCCTTAGTTGACCCGCCAGCGGGTTTTCAGAGGCAGTAAATGCACAAGAAGAGATTGCCCATTTTTTTCTTGTGGAGACACTGGTCATTCAAACCAAGAAACTTTGTGTTGGCAGTACAGTTCCTTACCACTAAGCTACCAGAGCGCCTCACTTTTAACAGCATGTACACGTAGTGGTATGAACCAGGCACCTTTGTGCATTGCTCCTATGCTATAATCTTGCACAGTCCAGCAACATTGCTGTTCTCAAGTGACTACACGGAGGAGGAGATAGAACATGCTTTTCTGGTGTCCCACAATGCCCCAGTGCAGGGCCCAGCACATAGCGGGTGTTCAGAACAGCTTGCTCATTGGTTATCAACATTGAACACCCCTGGGCTTCTGTAAACTGCATTTCTTCTCTATTAGTTTTATCATCAAGAGACCTCCGTTATCTCAATGTCAAACCGGTGGAGTGTCCTAGGTCCATAGGAGGGAGGGGAGTCCCCATCCAGAAGGAAGCTCTTGAGACCCAGAGCCTGGCCTCAAAGGCAAATCAGGGTTTGCATGGGTTGGAGCATTTGGTTTGCTATCAGGGGACTCACCCTTTACGGTAATTATGCAAATCTCCCTCTGCCCTGGGTCAGGTCCCCTCCATTCCCACTTTGCCTCAGGATGTTCCTGGGAGGAAGTGAAGCACATCCTCTTCCCCTCTCTGTCCCTGACCTCTGTCCCTTGGCCCTGTGATCCTTACCCATCCAGACTTCCCCAAACTGCCCGGCTCCAAGCTTCTTCTCCATCTTGAGGGACTCACGGGGAATCTCCCAGGCATCTTTCTCCCATGGCTTCTGGGGCTTGGAGGACACGCAGGGCACAGTCAGCTTCTGGCAGAGGCCGTCTCTCCCCTCTGAAAAAGAGGCCCTGGTCAGCTGTAGGTGGCAGCTCCCAGGCAGTCAGAGGTATCCTCCAGGACGAAGCCTCCCCGTCTGGTCCAAGGCGTGTGGTCAATGTTCCAACTGGTTGCCAACATCAAGGAGACTTTCCAGAGAGCAGAGCATAGTGGAAAAACACCTCTTGGACAACTTGGCCAACCCATCCCTCCTCCTTCACAAGCCTAAGATTTCAGGAGAATCTAAAGCTGTTAGGTATCTGGCGAGGGTCAGGAAGGGCTCAGCAGGCCTCAGAGGTCAGGTGCCCTCTTGACTAGGCTTTCCAGTGGAAAGGCCCACCCCACAGGTCTGCAGCCTCAAGGCAGGACTCACTCTTGTAGTGGGACACCATCTCCTGCAGAGTGCTGAAGGTGCTCCGTGGGGAAATGTAGAAGCCCCCGCCATCCAAGGTCCGGATCTTATAATGCTTCACTGTGTCCCCGTGCTGAGGGTCATAGTCTCGTACAGACAAAGAGTAGCTGCCTGCATTGGTCAGAGAGAACCCCGTTAAGAGTGAGACCTCACAGGCCTGACACCCGTTCTTGATGAGTTCACCCAGGCTATAGCAAGACAGGCCAGGGTGGGCAAGGGGTATGTCACCTTTGGTGGTCTCACTGTCCCGGATCATGAAGGAGCCCAGCACATTGCCAGGGACCAGGAGGTGACGCTCCGCGTCCTTACGGCTGATGCCCTTGAAGAACCACCTAGTGGAAGGGGAGGCCGCAGAGTGAGTCTGGGAGTAGACAGGCCTGACCCCGCCCACTGTGGGCGCATGTGGCCACAGTGAGTTAGGGGTTACCAGCATATGGAGGGTCCCACTTCCTGCAGCATTATTTTTATGCACATATTTTTCTTGGGGGGACAATTTTTTATTTGAAAATATGTTCAAATAAGTGCTTTGCCAGAGTGAATTAAATTTGCTGAGACTGAAGCAGCCTTTCTTTAGGAAAAATAATATAACGTTACAAATTCAAATTCATGGATCATCCCAGTGTTCCTCAGTGCTAAGGGGAAGGCTGAATGGAAAGAAACCATGGACTCAGCAAGACCACTCCTGTGTATACTCCAAGCAACCTAAGAGCAGCAGTGTGAACCGGTATGTACACTGATGTTTATCGCACCACTATTCACGAGAGTCCAAAAGGCAGAAACCAAAATGTCTATCAACAGCGAAGGGATAGGGGAGCTCTGGTGGCCTAGTGGCAAGAAGCTGCACTGTAATCCCATCAATACTTTGCTTGAATCCGCCATCTCCTCTTGTACCAGTCAGATCCAATTTGACGGTACACACAAAAAATAATAAAATAAAAACAACTATGAGATATTATCTCACCCCAGTAAGAATAGCAAAATTTAACAGGTCAGCAAGCAACAAATGCTGGTGAGGCTGTGGAGAAACTGGAACTCTTATTCACTGTTGGTGG